GAAATTTTTAATTACACCTTTCCCAAAATCTTTGTCTCTGAAGATACTGACTAATCACTGCAGTAAAAGTTAGCAAAGAAGCAAAATAGAAGCAGTGAATGAGAAATCCATTTTTGCCCCAGCTGTATCTACTTGCTATTCTTGAGACTTGGGATGTGCATGATTTAAATCATCATCACAATCATCAAAATGTAGACATGGACTGGGAACATAGCTCAACGCTTGTCTAGCATACACATAGACATGTGATTCTCAGCAATGAAGTGAGTAAGTTACTGTGTGGGAAAAGCAGATCTAAATGGTGGCTGGGATCTCAGAAGAGTCCAACAGTCCAGACTGTATGGGTTTAAACCCAAGCCCTGCCACTCCCTGTTCACCTCAGGTTGCTTACCCACTCTGTGTCAGTTTTCTTTTCTACAAATAGGGTTTGTATGAAAATAGAAGTAACACATAAAGCACCCCAATAGTGGCTGTACATAGCCGATGCTACCTATATATTAGTTGATGTTATTATCTTCAAGAAATAAAAAGCTTAAGTGCTATCTCCTATATAATTTACAACAAACATTTTAACCTGCCATTAAATAATTGTAAATTTAAGATATATTTATCTTCTGTTTCAAGATCTCAAGGGATTTTACATTTCAATTTGAAAGGAGGGTTCTTCTCTTTCCATAATGTGAAGTTTTCAAAGAACTGTAAAAGATTGAATTTTCCAACACAGAATGACTTCAATTAAGAACAATGTATTCCTTCTACATCTTCCTAGTTCTGAATGTAGGATCCAAGAGAAGTTTGCACCCCATTTTCTTCCTTCCTTGTCCTCATTCTCTAATGTCTGCCGGTCCTCTTTTTGACCACCAGTCATTATTCCAGCTGTTTTTTGTCAAGTCCATTGCTGTGGCTGGTATCATGACTTCATTTTCTCTGTTGTCCATATATTTTACAGAAATAACCTTTCAAACTGATTTTTTCCAATGCTGGGACTCAAATCCAGCACTCCGCAAATGTTAGGCAAGAGTTCTACCACCGAGCTGTACTTCCCGTTTAGACGAATCCTTCTGAGTACCATTTCATTATCATTACTTCCTACTTGCAAACTCCTTACAGTTCCCTATCTTCAAAGTAAACTCTTAAAATTTTAAACTGCCACCTAAGGCCTTACCCCATTTACGCACAACCTACTGTTTCAACCTTTACTCTTCTTACAACCACAACATTCTATCGCAATGGTTCTCAGCTATCAGTGATTTACTCCAAGTTATTAGCAACACCTGAAGGTATCTGGTTTTAACAATGGAAGAAACATTGTACTGATGCTGCTTAAATACCTTATAAAACAGATCCATCCAGGATGATGCCTCTCAACCAGGAATTACCCAAGTCAACATCTCATCTCAGGATTGATGAGGCTAAGAAATGCTGTTCTAGCCCAACAGAGATAGTAGCTGACTCACATACCTTCCCACAACTTCCTGCTTCTGTGCTTATTTTTTTCCAGTGACACTATTATTTATCAAATGTTTATGGAACATCTACTGTATGTTAGTATCTGTAGATTCGAAGATGAAAAAAACCTTTCCTAATCAAAAGGAGCTCAGAATTTCACAGAATTAAATTTTTCTTCTTGTATCTGAACCTCTGAACAGTGTCACTTTTTAAGACTTAAATGGAATAAAAGTAGTAATTCTATCATTTATTGTCTGGGGTTGTGTCTCAAAGGCAGAGAGCACTTAATTAGAGGGAGCAAGCCCTTGTGTTCAATCCTCAACACTGCAGGGGAAAAAAAGGCCAAACAAATAGAAAACCACTAAACAGTATTTGCTGAGTGCTAGGAACTCAGCTGAAAAAACAAAAACAACATCGACAACAAAAAACCCACCTCCCTGCAGGTCTACAACAAAGGCAAGTTCCTAAGATACTATGCTTATTTGTTATGTACAAAGGAAAAAAAAAACTGTTGTATTTGTGGAGACTCATTGCTGTTTATAACTAAAAGGCATAAGACTTTTCTAAAAGAAATAATTCTAGCAAGTAATAAAAGATCAGTTATTTCCCCAGTCCTGTTACACACACACAATGTCTACAATCATTTACAACAGAAAGAAGCATAGTTTCCTCCAGCATGTAGAAGAATGGTAAACAAAGCTGACTGGGTTAATTATGAGACCTACCCTTTTGATCTCAACCTCTTTCAAACCACTTTTCTATACTCTGCTGAGAAGCCAAGCATCTCTCATCATCTAAGATCTTCACCTACAGTAAGAGAAATATTTATTTCCTAGCTTTTTTTTTTGTCATGATGTTGATACAAAGGTATAAACAAATAAATCTCTTTTTAATGTATTAAGGAAGCAATGTTATTTTATCAGCAGGCAAATGGATATTTCACTATTTTTATATTAGTGATGAGATCTTTGCCATTTCCAACCAGGTTTATGGTGGATGGGTGTCTGGACTAAGGGAAATTTTGCCTAAAGTGGGGTTGTGGAAGAGAGGAAAGGAGAACAACACAGAGGAAACATGAGAGGTAGGAGAGCAAATGGGAACAACCAAAAGCAGAGAAAAGGCAAGAAAGAAAGGAAAGGAAGGAAGGAAGAAAGGAAGGAAGGAAGGAAGGAAGGAAGAAAGAAAGAAAGAAAGAAAGAAACAAAGGAAGGCAGAGAAAGAAAATGAGTTCTAGATTAAAATGTCAATATTTCCACTAAAGCTTTCTCCGTGTCCCAAGGCCCTATACAGCCCCATATCCTCATACACAGTTGGAGGTGATTCTCCTAGGCCAACGGCAGTGATATTCAACTAGACTTCAAAATGTTAGCAAAGGCTGTTCTCATTAGCTAGCAACCACTTAACAGCACACTTAAAAGAAGAATATATTTAACATCAATTTTGGAGACTGCTTCGAAACAAGAAATGTAGAGTACTCGGCAGTTTTCAATGACTCTATATTACCAAGAACAAAAATGCTGATCACTTTCTCTAATTTCACATCAGTAGAAAATGGCAAGTAAACAAAAACAAGAAAGATGATTTTGTTTAAATAATTTTACAGGGAAAAAAAATCTCCATTTAAGAGGTTTCAGCAAAAGTACTGCCAACCATCTCATTTGATCAGCTCCCCTCAATAAAACTATTTGAACAATGTGACCTTCACAAGTTACCTACTCTAAAATTCAAATTTCCTAAAAATAAGCTATTTAACACTTCCATTCATTGGCTAGTGCTCTATCACCTGAGCCTCCTCTCCAAGAATTCACTGTATGTACTACAAAATTAAGAAAAGTAAGGGACAGGGTGAGCTAGTGGAGGGATGAGAATGGTGAGAGGAGTTAAACTGATCAAGATGCATTGTATTCATGGACAGCTTAGTTAAATGGCAACTCCTTTATACAATTAAAGATGATTTTTAAAATAGGCTATTTAAACAAACTGAAAGCAAAAGTAACTCTAATGTTTTTAAAAATAAATGAGTGCATACTTAGCATATTTCTATAGGGCTTTCTTAAACTATAATCTACATATTTCACAATCCAACTATGTATAATTTAAGTGTGTTTTAGTACAATCATGGCATTGTAAATTTATCAAGCCAATCAGTTTCAATCATCTCCCATTTCCTCTCAGCTCTTAGCTAAGACTTTGTCTGTTACCTGCTACTCCTTTTCATTAAAATAGAATCCTACTTAATATGGCCTAGTGAGACTGGCTTAATTTAGCATGTTGTTTTCAAGGTTCATCCATGCTGAGGATGCCACAATTTATTTATTCATTAATCATGGGTATTCGAGTTATTTATACATTCTAGTTATATTAGCCATAAGGCTACTACAAATATTTATGTGCAGGCTTTTACTTTTCTTGGGTATAAACCGAAGTGGAAAACTGCTGGTCCTTATGTAATAAATTCTCTTTATGAACCCAGAGAGAGAGAGTCTAAGAGATTTCAGATAGTCAAACACATGGCAGCTTCCAGGAAAGTGAGCAAAAACACATGGACACTAAGACAAAGTAAGGACATCCCAACTCCACAGGGAAAACTTGTACTTTTCTTCTCCAAATTACCAATGTAGTAAAACATTCTTAGTCTGGCTCAGTAGAAATTTTCCAGTCCTGCTGCTGATAGTTGTAGGACCTGGACCTAAGACTGCACTTTAAGGTGCTCCATTGGTGTTGGTTGAAAAATTGAGTGCTTGTTCAGTGTGTAGGAAAAATTTCTACATACATTTAAGTACACAACTGTTCTGTGACAAAGTTAAAAGGAACTTCTTTGCTACTAGGAAGGGAAAATAAAAGTAAATTTATGGGATCATTCAATAATGAACCTAAATTACAAGTCTTTTACTCTAAATGAAGGGGAAATCCATATTATTTTTAGGCCATATACATTTCAAGATACTGACATAGAGTTTCTTACTTCTTATTGCATTCCTGTGGATTGTACCCATGTCTCTGTGCATCCCAGGCAAGTGTTCTACCGCTGTAACGCTGGGTTACATCCTTAGCCCTACCACAGGGTTTAGAGCATGCAAAATCCTTGTTTTTTTTCTTTTTCTTGTCCCTCAAGATTGTTGTCCTTCTTTTCTAAAACTAGTTATTTTTGCTGTTTTAGGACCCAAACCCTCAGGTGTTCTAATATTAAAATCCATCAAAATTAAATTTACATTCAGTCAGAAACTGAATTTTCTAATCAAATATTGGTTCAGTCAAATATCTGCCCAAATATGCAAAAGGTATCTTAGAACCAAATAGTTTCTATGTATAACCTTATCATATTTGCGGCAGAATAGATTTTAAAAAATCAAATAAAGCTACGATTAATTTGAAAAGCAATTACTGGTTTTCAGTAAATGCTGACCTGCTATACCTTTGCAAATCCTCCTTTATGTAGACTAAATTATTCTGTTAACTTTAGAATTTATAATATTGAACATTTTAATTATCACCTAACCTATTCTATAGGGATAGACGATAGACTATAACAATATAATCAATGAACAAATATATTAAGTATATGATAAATATTTTTATTTTTAAACACTAAACTGTACATGTTTCATATAAAAGATTCTAGCCTCTATATTTTAAAAATAATTACACTAGCCAATACTATCTTTATGTTTTTTATAGAAGCCAATATTTCCCAAATCTGTAGCTTCATTTTACAGCTTTTACAGAATCATAATCTTTTAACTATATTTCTAATATCATTTAAAAAATAAAAATTCATTCAAGATATTTTTATTTAACACATGAAAACGTAACAAGTTACACAGTACAACTGCTTAATCCTCTAGGTACCAATGAATGCTTTCTATTATAGCCTGCTAACATGTTGAAGAAGTTAATTCTCTGCATTTACTTTTATTAAAAAGAGGTTTTTGGTCGTGAGAACGAATAATCTCTCATTTGTTGCCTGAAAGCCTAAAATAGGATCATTGGTCTCTAGGCTTGCAACTTGCTGCTTAGCAACCTGCCCTACATGCCTGCCTTCCTTTCTGTTGTAGAGCACAGTAGACATGGGAGCAGGCTGGCGATAGATGAATACTCGGCGAAGGCACTCACAAAGGGCAGCATAGGAGTAATTTGGAGCACAGGCAAAAAATTTTTTGTCTCTCTTTGATGCTTGCACATAACCTGCCGAAAACATAATATGAACAAAAGAAGAACTATAATTTACATACGAGAAAACATGATTTAATATTTAATATTTCAAAACTTTGATTATAACTTCCTAATTTCTATTAGAATTAAAATCCTCAGTAAAATATATACATGTATACCATAAACACTCAATGATGGTTGACTTCAGAACCATTAATGATTACTCATAATCTGTTTCTTTTAATTGATGCTACACTACATGTTAATATAGGAACAAAACAAGCTTTGTCTCTTTAAGAAATGTACAAGATAGTTACATTTAATTTCCACAAATAATTAAAATACTAAAATTCTGAAATCTAAAAGACTAAAAATACATGTTAAAAGATCCTTAAATCCCAATTTAATATGTAGGTGGATGAGTAACAAGAGCATCACAGAATGTTTCCTCTCATGGTCATAGGATATGACCAAAATTATCTCATATTTACTATATTAGATGTAACATTATTTGTGCTTATTATGAAGGTCTGAAACACTATCTCTAAAGGTATTCACAGTGAGTTCTCTCAGCAAGCCTGTGATGTTTGTAAGTTTTCTGTTTTAGCAGTAGTGGAAAACAAACTCCATCTTATCCCTGCTGGGCTTTTTAGTCACACACCTAGTTCTTTTGATTCTAGGTTGTTTTTCAGATAGGGTTTTGTGCTTTAAGCCAAGCCTTAAACTGCAATTTATCTTAAATCATACGCATATTTTAAAATTGTCACTTGTGAAATACATTAGGATTTTCAGAGTGGGACATGATTACTGAATGCTATGACATGTGATATAAAAAAAGGGACCACCAGTGAAAATTGAGCTCCCATCAATAAATGGGCAAAGCTATGGAGCACATGAGAAAATAATATGAAATGTTAATACTAAATGTTAATTGGGGTTTGAGAAAGGAAGAGTAATGGAGATGTTGATACCTATTTGCATATGTACTTGTGTGAGATATTATGTCCATTGGTAATATAAAGTTGATTTAAGTCTCAAGCTTAGTAGAAGTCCACTGAGGGCTGGGATATAGCTCTGTGGCAATTGCTTGCCTAGCAAGTGCAACTTCCTGAGTTTGACCCCCAGTACCAAAAAAAGAAAAGAAAAGAAAAAAAGAAGTCCACTGAAATATGAGGGTTTGTGCATACACATGGAGGATCTGAGCATCAAGAAGTTACATTATCCAACATTTTACTTACTGAAGGAAGAATGAATTAAACGAATAGAAATTAGAGAGGCTAGAAACTATTTGTAAATAGATCAATGCAACTTTGCATTTCAGGCCAATAATCCATTGAAAATGGAATCATAAACCAGGTGTCAGTGGCTCATGCCTGTAATCCTAGCTACTAAGGAGGTAGAGATCTGAGGATCATGGTTTGAAGCCAGCGTGAGTAATAAAGTCCATGAAACTCTTATTTCCAGTTAACTACCAAAAATGCCAGAAGTGGAGCTGTGGTTCAAGTGGTAGAGTACTAGCCATGAGCAATAAAGCTCAGGGACATTGTCCAGGCCCTGAGTTCAAGCCCCAGGACCAGAACCAAAACAAAAACAAAACAAAAAAACCCTGAATTATATTATTAATTAATAAAGGATAAGTGACAAATCTCTACAGCTAGGGTTGTGTTCATGGAGCATTAAAATATATAATTTTACTTCCTGCTACTAGTTTAAAATATCTTCTCAATTAAGTAGTAACTGTGGCTAGCTCATGTAAAAAGTTTCTCCCAAACAATACAAACATATAAAGTTAAAGCCCAAAATTCCTGTTGAAGAAAGGAGAGTGTTGCATGGCTTTTCCCAAGGGCAGAACTTAATAGAATCATGTGGAATCTAGATCTTACCCTCTATCTATATCTGTCTTTCTCTCTCTCTCTCTCTCTCTCCTTCTTTCTTTCTTTTCTTTTTTCTTTTTTTTTGGTCGGTCATAGAGCTTGAACTCTGGGCCTGGGTGCTGTCCCTCAGCTCTTCAGCTCAAGGCTAGCACTCTACTACTTGAGCCACAGTGCCACTTCCAGTTTTCTGGTGGTTTGTTGGAGATAAAGAGTCTCAAGGACTTTCCTGCCTGGGCTGGCTTTGAACCACAATCCTCAGATCTCAGCTTCCTGAGTAACGAGGATAACAGGCGAGCCACCAGCGCCCAGCTAACACAAGCCCAAATTTTAAAACCAGTACTTTTTCTTTTATTCTATCAAATTTCTACTCACTGCCACTTTCTGTAGTTTATTCATTATAATGGCTCTTTCGCATTCATGTTCAATGAAAAATGACTCCTTAGAGCAGTTCTATGATGTTTTTGAAGATTACTGTGAAGAAATCTAAATTCAGATTCCATGTAAGGTACTGTAAGACCCATTTCTATTCTAACACTGTATAGTTCACAGAATTAAAATAAGCAAATAATTGATTAGAATTATAGATAACCAAGCTGGGCACCAGTGGCTCACGCCTATAATCCTGGCCACTCAAGAGGCTGATCTGAGGATCATGGTTCAAAGCTAGCTGGGACAGAAAGGTCCCCGTGGGACTCTTATCTCCAATTAACTACTCAAAAACCAGAAGTGGAGCTATGGCTTAAAATGGTAGAGAGCTGGCCTTGAGCAATAGACCACAGGGACAGAGCCCAGGGTCTGAGTTCACGACAGACAAAAATAAACAAAAAAAATTATAGATAATCATTTTCATTTCTATTCTGTGATCTTTTGTACAAACATAGGAACAAATTTGTCCTGATGTTATAACAGTACTCACCCCATTAACTATACTATAAAGAATCAAATTGTAGAACAAACCAATCTGAATATGATTAGAACTTCTCAAATTAAAAAGAAAAAAGAAACCAACTTTAAAATGATGACTAATTTTTGGCATAATGGAAATGCTGTGAAGAGCCTACTTTGTACCTAGAGCATTGAAGGTTGCTATGTGTTCCCACATATCATCTTGTTTGCCAGAGCGAGGTTGCCAGAGAAGGGCATCGACATCATGGCGCAAACAGAAGCAGGGCATTTCTTTAGGATCCACTATGACAGAGAAAAGGTACTGGTTGCTCCCAAGATTCACCTAAAAAATGATGAATAATTTAACCAATTATTAAAGGAGACAAAACTGACACACGAAACTAAGTGTAAGCAACTGTTCTAAACTTTTTAAAGACATCTCCTAGCATTTCTGAAAGAAATGTTTCACATTCATTTTAAAGACAAGGGAAGTGATGCACGGGGCAGGTAACATCCAAGTTGATCCAACTCCATGCTCTTAACACTGTGCTATCTACTTCTCAACTGTTAGTACGCTAGTTTAAAAGATACTATAAAACATCAGTTCTATAAGGAAAAGTTTTGAACCACAGAATACAATAAACTTACTGATATTAGCTTGTAATTACCAAAATAAAATAAAACACTAGCTATAAGAATTTGTAAACATGTTCTATATGTTAGGCATATTATAAACAATCTCTACTACTCATAAGGCTGTTTCTATCTTCATTTAAGAGATGAAAGAATAGCCTTGGAGAGATTTGAATAATGTGCTGTGGATTAAACAGAAAATTCACAAACTGGGTTTCTAACTCAAATCTGTTCATCAATTACTTTCATGTATAGCTGAATTATGTTATTAACATCAATGTAATGTCAGTAATTATTATTGTAATACTTGTGCCTAAAGGAATTCATTTCAATACAAAGTTGATTGAGGCTTATAATTGAATTCCATCTACGATAATACTTTTTATAATGGGTAGAGTGAAACCATATTCTTAGAAGTGTTTTCATCAGAGTCGGTCGATATGACAACAAAAGTCATACCAAATTAGAAGGTATACAGAATCAACAGTGCTTGATAAGGAATTGGTTTTCAGAAATTGGACTATATCTTATTATCTTCAAGTAATTGTACACAGGGATTAAGGTTACAATGTATCACGATCAGTATCACCCTTCCCATCATTTTCCCCATCTTCCATCCCAACTCTATCCTTCCCCTCACATTATCTGGTTCCATTTCACATATGAACTTTAAAGATTATAACTGTGCTTGCCCATCATTAGGTTCTTAATGAAATACTTCATAAAGTTTACTAGGGTCAGCAGCTTCTACACTTAAACTTAAGTAGAGATATGGATCCCTTTGCTTTTTATTTCTTACCTCAGAAATCTTACTTTTTCAATAATCTTTTTCCTTGGTTCTCTGATGTTTAAAGAAAAATGTCAAATGACACTTAATGAAAGCTCTTCAAAATCAGACCCCGGAAGACCAATTATTGTTCCAATTATTAATTCCAATTATTCTTCTTAAAAGGTAGCAAGACTAGATCACAATTTATAAAACTCTCCTATTTTCTCACTTCCTGTTCATGATGTCTCTATGTCAATCATATGCTACAATCCAGTGGCATCCAAGTTTACTTCAATGTTAATGATAAAGAAATAATAACCACCTAACAATTTACTTTGCTATTGCTATTGAACTTACCTGTTGCACTGACATGCAATTAGAGATGAGAATGATTATAAGTACAACAGTAATAACCACAAACTATTGTTATATGTGAACACTATATTTTAACACTTGCACAGGGGTTGACATACCATAATAAATGTTCAATTTTACCATTCTATACTTCTCTGTATCTACTTTATATATTACTGATATTCCAAAAGAATAAAGTAACCAACATTAATAAGAAAACAGTTTGGGCATGATATTTCCAAAGCCTCACACAGTATTTGTATAATTTTATGCCTATGAAATGTGTGCAAAGCTAGTTAAAAAATAACAGAATTCCTCTGACCTAATCCTAAAATATTTCCTTTATGGACAAATTTTTAAATTCTTGCCTCATTTAAAAATAAAGGAATTAATTGTTCTGCTTCTCATTTCATTTTTTATTGTATACACTCCATTTTATGAGTAATTTCAAACATAAGCTATTCCACCCAGTTTCCACCCAGTATCTGTTACATAGGTAACTGGCACACCTGGAAGCAGTCACCTTCCCCTCCTGCAAGGTTACATCCTGGGGTGCCCTGGCCTTCCAACTGACCACAGATCCCAGACCCTGAGGTCCATTCAGATCCAGTGTTGCCACACCTTTCCCCCACCTGGCCATACCTCTTCCTGTCCCTGGCCTAGATAAGTCCTGGCCCAGGGGTGGGTCTCCCCTTTTTGGCCAAGTCTCCCCACCAGGCATCGGAGGGGGCAGCAGTTTGGTAAATAAATTTCTTTTCTTGCCTGAATAACCGTGTTATGTCTCTTCATGGTCTACTTAATGAAACCTACCTACTATATCTGGCAATAGCAATATATACCAAGTACTCTGAGATGAAATACTGCATCTTGGTACTGGGAACTGAACAGGATCTTTTACATGACAATCAGGTGCTGTACAGCTAAGCCATGCCCCCAGCCATTCATTTGTTGTTTTTGAAATATGATCTGGCTAAGTTTTTCCAAACTGGCCTCCTACTTCTGTCTCTGCACTAGAGTAAAAGGGATTACAGAAATGCACAAATGTGGCTGTGATGCTCAATCTTAACTGTCAACTTCATTGAGAGATGACTAGTAAAGTACATCTATTCCTTTTCCTTGAGCAGTCTGGCTAGAAATGCACCAATCTCTTTTAGAGAACTACCTTTTGATTTCATCCGTTTTCTCTATTTCCAGTACTCAATTCTACTGATTATTTTTAGTAGTATATAGCCTTTACCTTCTTGGTAGGTGGCTCTTGTTTTTGTATCTTCTTCTGATAGAAGCCTAAATGATTAAATGGAGATAGTTTTCTAACATATAATGCTATACATTTTCTTCTCACCACGACTTTGCATCCCACATGTGCGGTGTTTCTTTTTTTGTCAGTCATGGGGTTTGAACTCAGGGCCTAAGTGCTGTCCTTAGGCTCTTTTGCTCAAGACTAACACTCCACCACTTTGAGCCACAGTGACATTTCTGATTTTCTGGTGCCTAAACTGGCGGTAAGAATCTCATGGATTTTCCTGCCCAGGATGGCTTTGAACTGTGATCTTCAGCCTCCTGAGTAGTTAGGATTACAGACATGATCCATCAGTGCCTGCCCCTGTGTTTCATTTTCATTCAATACTAAATTCTTTGTGAGTTCTGTGACCTGTGGGCTAATGAGAAATGTGTTAATTTCCATATATTTAGAATTTTGGGGGGTATTTTTTGTTCATATTTAATTATCTTATGACCGAAGAACATTTAAATGTTTCTATGACCCAGAGCATAGTATAGTTTACTGAATGATTCATAGTTCTTCTGGGATGCCAAATAATTATATATAAGCCCATTTGCTATTGTCTTGCTGTTCTTGGATGGTGTACTTCTATGTATGTATGTATGTATGTATGTATGTGTGTATTATATGTGTGTGTGTGTGTGTGTGTGTGTGTGTGTGTGTGTATGTGGATATTTGTGTATATATTACCTATCTATATAATCTATTTCAGTTCTTGCAATTTTTAACAACCTGTTTCCAAGGTAACTTTTTCTTTTCTCATAGATAGAGGGAATGCTCATCAGTTTGCTGCAAACATTTGTCTTCTCTTGCTATGTTTTTTTTTATTTTATTTGTTTGCAATTTTTATCTTCATTAAAAGATAGTACATATTCATTTATCTTTTCCACTGTGCCCCTAACATGTCAACCATATCACACTTACTTTAAATTGACCATTTCATACTCTAAGAACATGGGTCATTTCTGAATCTAGTTTGCTTGTTTCTTCTCTATGGGATGCTTTACTTTTTTCTTTGTTGTGTCTTGTAGTTTTTTTTATTGAATAATGGACTTTATGTGCCAATAGATTATGAAATAAGTTGTATTTATTTATGTCTAGGAATGAAGATACTTCTACTTAGATCATTAGTGTTAGGGATTGATTGAAACATGATTTGTATTTGTTTGTTACTATGACTAGCTTCAGTGCATTAATAGATTCAATTCTTCCAGTGTCATCTTGTACTCTGAAAGAAACTGAGTTGGTAGAGGATTTTCTTCAATGGGATAAAACTACTCTCATCCCCCGGCATTCTTGGTGCATTGATAACTATAACCTGCATAAAGTCTAAAATATTAGCAAACTATATAAGAAGTTCTGTATCAAGCAAATTATATACTAGAGGATTCCACTCCCTAACTTCTGCTGACAGAATGTAGGCTTCAAATATAAAAGCTATCATCTTTCATCCACTGACATACAAAATAAACAATCAGACTGAAGCTCTCTCCCACAGGTTCCTTGTCTTCTTGAAGGATGTTGGCCAAGACAAAAAAATCCTCTTCTTTGGGAAGTCTACATGCCAAAACATTCAATTCAAATGTTCAAAAGCAAGGTAGAAGACATAACAAGAGAGTAAAGTAAGCAGAAACCATGACATCATTTGTAAAGTAAGAGAACAGTTACTTCTGCTCAGTAGAAGCAAATACAGAAGATATCAATATGACAATGGGAAAGCACGGAGACAGAAGAAGGCAAGGGCATCTGATTCCCAAATCAGACATCAGAACTATGTCCTATTATCTAAAAATGTTTATGTCTTTAAGCCTGACTTCCAATGCATTACCAGAACAACTTTAGTTCTTCCTAAGATCTGAAAAAATTTAGTTTCCACTGTTGCCTACAATCCCAACATATGCTAACTTACAACACTTGAAGGTGGCAAAGGTTTTCTGTTATCTGCAATCACAAAAAACTCGAGACTACCAAATTACAGCCAAATGAAAAGCAAATCAGAATTAAATAAATAAGAATGAATGATAACTAGAAAGCATAAATGTGTTCTTTTGTATGGTTCTTCAAAGACAGAAAATAACAATAGAAGAAATATTTGAAAAGCAGAGATATACTATGTTAAATCTGAAGTGGACTAAACAGAAATGAGACATCCATTATCTACTGGGACAATCACCTGAAAGAAACAAGGAGATGTTTAAAAAGTTTTTGAGTCAAGAACAGGTGCCACAAAAATAGAGTGTAGCTGTCTACCATGTCCAAGAATATTGATTCATCCATTAGTCCTACCAAAAATAAACAAATAAGAACATGCAAATCAAAGTTTCCTTCACTAGAGAATTATGTATTTTGGTGTCAACAAAATTTCATTGACTTTAAAACTTGATAGCCAAGAGCAAAATAAAGACTACAAATAAGAAAGAAATGGATGGCTGCTCTGGGCAGCAATACATTGAAGTTAAGAAGCAGTAGCCAATAGCTCATAAGTAGTAAAATGAATACTAACAATAAATTCTGAAAATCCAGCAGGCTTAGGCTATTTACTGTAGGGACAAATGCTTCTATACATTATTAGAGATGCACAGCAAGTTTTAACTGATGGTCACAGTGAAGACACACAAGCATCAAAAATATTCTTTGCAGAATGTTCCATATAAAATACTGAGCAACCAAAACAAGTCTAGTAAGATTCCAAAAGTGAAGAAATGGCTTTGAATATAGTTGTCATATTTGACAGAGAAAAGTTAATTGATCTGAACAATCCACTGATTTGGGTACTCAATCCTCACTGACGCCAAAATGAATGGTTTAAAACAACACAAATTCATAAACCAGTAAGATCTAATTCCACATTCATTCTATGTTCATGTTTATTATAGAAAAGGTCATATGTATCTTTGAAGTACTGGTGAAAACTATAATTATAGTAAGCCAGTCACTACAGAAAATCTGAAATATGCATTTCAAGTAGTCAACTGACTCTTAAATTTCTTGGTGGAACATCTAATAATTACAGACTTCAGAAGATTAAATGTCAAAGTGAAGACATTTAAGCAATCTTTAATAACTGGTACTACCAAATTAATTGAAAAAATTCTATACAGAATTAAGATATTTGTTAGAAGGCAAGATTGAAACCAGCTTCAAATTCACAGTTTCAAAATCCCATATAGAATGCATTATTAAAATTATATATTCTTTATACCTATATATGCATATACACATCTGTGTATATATACACACACCCATACATATATGTATGTGCACACATATACACATGCATACATGTATGTATGTATAAAGAATTTACTATCTTATTTAATGTTTGCTACCTAAGAATTAGAAGTATCCATCTTACATAAGATAAAAGTAAGTCTCATGAGATATTTAAGTCACTAACAAGTAGTGGCTGAAATTTAAATTTAAATGTGCTTCCAAACTCATGTTCTTCATTATCAGACTATGTTCTCTCCCAAGGCCTACTTTATAATAACTATTAAGCAACTATTTAACTGTCTATAATAAATATTCAATGTCTGTGGCTAGACACTATTTCAGATGTGATACTCCACTAGTGCAGTATTTGAACACTTATTAATTATCTATACAATTAAAGTTATCTTTAGCTGACTAGATCTTTGGAAGACATAAGGTATTAGCTGAAAAGCATAAAATACAATTGATGGAAACAAACTGATTTTTAAGTTTACAAAAACTCAAGACAGTAACCTCTACAAACATGTGGGGAAAGGAATATTTTTTGCAGCTTAAAAAATATCAAATTGAAATTATAATGTATCACAATGATACCAACTTTCAATGACCAATAATGTATATTGGCAGATACACGTAAGTATAATAACAAAAATACCTATCAAGAAAAAGTGCTAACAGAAAAAAGGAAGAGGAAGTAGTTGAGAAGACAGATAACGTGGTTGTACTTTATCTAGGTTAACAGAGGATAAAACATAGTTTTTGAACTGAGAACTGAGTAAGGTAAGAGAATAGTGCCAAAGTCCGAGTATTTCAGGCAAGGAAAGAAGGAATGTTAAGAGTCCTGGAGAAGAGCATGTTAATAATCTGGGGAATGGCATGAAGGCCAGGGTAGCTAAAGAAAATGACTCGAAGAAATGGGTAGAAAATGAACAGCAATCAGGACAGCATGCCAGTGATTTCTAAATCATGAATCCCAACAATAAAATCAATAGAATAAAAAAGTATGTAAAAAACAATTTTCATTTTTATTTTATTAACAATGAATATTATTTACAATAATATTCATGTAGTAAGGGTCATTCCACTTTGTAGAATTTTCCCATCAGACACCTATATCCCCAGTGTGTGTGTGTGTGCGTGTGTGTGTACATGCATGTTGTCTCAATTTATAATGTATCACTACCTAGAAAAATTATAGAAACATTTAAAGGCCTCCCATTGACCACAGTAAGGACACTGGGCATTAATCTTAATATGACACATAGAAGCTTCATAGGGAAGATAGAAATAGAAAAATTATATAATGTATTAAGACCTTTAAAAGGGTTGCTTTGGTCATGAAACTACTTACTATTAATTCAAAGGGAAAATAACTTAAAAGTAGAAAAACTGGTAATAGTATATAATCAAATCTGACACCACAAAAACAGAGACAAAATTACACGTAATCTCATCTAATGACATATACGCCAAAAGAATCACTATGTGGAATTTCTATCAAAATTTCATTGAATCTGATGAGGGAATTCTATAGGATTATAAATTGAGAGATAGTATATAAAAGCTACAAAATGAAGTTACCATCAAAAGGATGAGTTAGTGGCTATTTCAAAATGGAGACTAAAGAGACACCAAAGCTAAATGTGGTATGAGACATTGGGTAAGATCCTGAATCAGAAACAAAATTTGCTCAAAATTTGTTCATTTTTTGATCCACTGGTAAAATTTGAATATAAAGTCTGAAGTGTTATATGTTAAATTGTATGTGGTTATATAAAATAATCTCCTGCTGGGAATGTGGTTGAGTGGCAGATTGCTTGGCTAGCATGCATGAGGCTCTAGATTCAATTCCTCCATAACACATAAATAAGAAAACAAATAAAATTAAAAAATAATCCCTTCATTTTTAGCATATAAGCAAATTGGTGGAGGTAAAGAGAAACTGTATGTGCAACTCATTCCTAAATACCTCAGTAAAAAGAAGATATAAATGTCACAAAAGACTAAACACTAATAAAATCTAAGTGAAAATATTATTATGTTTGAATTGAATACCCTTAAATTCATATGTGGAAAGAGACCTTCAAAGACTAATTCAGCTGAAATAAAGTCATTAAGGAGAGTCCTAATTCCTAAGACTAGAGAAAGCTGTTAAATACAAAAAAACAAGGTATCATGAAGAGGAGAAAAAAACGAGGGAAGGAAAAATTTATAATGAGAGGAACAATTAAGACTGTGTGTGTGTGTGTGTGTGTGTGTGTGTGTGTGTGTGCGTGTGTGTGTGTGTGTGTGTGTGTGTGTGTGTGTGTGTGTGTGTGTGTGTGTGTGTGTGTGTGTGTGTGTGTGTGTGTGTGTGTGTGTGTGTGTGTGTGTGTGTGTGTGTGTGGTGGGGGAGGCTACTGGGGTGGAACTCAAGGCATAGGTGCTATCCCTTAGGTTTTTCACTCAAGGCTGGCATTCTACCACTTGAGCCCCTACTTTTGGTGGCTAATTCGAGGTTAAGAGAGTCTCATGGAATTTCCTGCGTGGGCTGGTTTGAAACTGCAATCCTCAAATCTTAGCTTTTTGAGTTGCTGAGATTATAGGCATGAGCCACTGGCACCTGGCTTAGAGATTTTCTTTTAATCAATATAATGTTGGGTTGGAACGTAAGATTTGGTAAATCAAGTTCCTGTATTGTTTTATAATCTACAAAGCTGAGGACTAAACCCTGGAGTAGAGTGACACCAAGCCACACCAGGCAACATTCATACTAGTACACATTTCCCAAGGCTTTTAAGCAGAATGTAATTCTGAGGGAAGCAATTATACGCATATGACATACCAGACAGTAGGAGAAAAAAATCCCAATTGGTTTAAGAAACTGAGCAAAAAATATTCCAAAATGGTAATTTTTGAAACAGGTCACAAAAATTAGTAAGAAACACAAATAGAAAAATATTATTTGCAAAAGAATTAATATACAAATTTGTGAAAAGTTAGAAAATATATAATTTAAAGTAAGATTCTACATCTTGACCACCAATTAGTAAAGATCAAACAGAAAACCAAAGGTGAAGGTAATGGTGCAGTGAAACAGAAAATTAGTCAAGACGTTACAAATGAGAAGATAGAAAGTTAATATACATTTACATGGTCATACTGTGTGAAAAAGAATGGCACAGGAAAAAAGCTAGCTAAACAGTATTAATATGAAATGTTACTCAAACAATCTAACTTCGTTTTATTGTGTTTGATATATTTGATGGTATGGATTACTAGTATGGACTGATGGTTCCTCACTGAGTAATAAGACTTATCACAAGCAATAACTACTAATCCAACATTGATTGATTGATTGATGGAGACAGGGTTTCCTATACAGCCCAGTCTGGTCTAGAACTGGCTATGAAGCCCAAGTTAGCTTCAAACTTAATGATCCTCTCCCTCCCTCTTCTCAAGGGCTGATACTATATGTGTACTCTACTACATTTGGGTCCAATCAAGATAATTTTATAAAACATTTATCTGTCCTTAAATTATCATTTCCATTACCCACTGATTTCCAGAAATAGTAAGAACTTACCACATGAGTAGTTTTCAATGAACTGCCATCAAATCTGCATAAACTAGAACTCTCTTCAAAGAAAATATCACATTCTTCTAACTCTTGAGCATTACAAGGAGGTTTTTCTTTATCTGGATTTGGATTCTTAAACCAACAACAACAACAAAAAAAAACAAATAATAAGCAAAACAAACAACAATAAGGAAATAGATTTATTCATTCTTAGAAATGCTATGATTACAACAACAAAATTAATTCAGACCCTTGTCTAATAAAAACAGTATCAACAAAAACAGAGATATCACAATAATTGAGCCAACAGAAAAAAAACATGAATAGACATTTGATATACTCAAAGACATTAAAAGTAAAACAAAAATATGTTGAGAATTAATATTACCAGCAGACCTACATTATACCTTGCTACAGTAACTTACTCAAGGAGGAAAAATGTTAAATGAATATCCATCCAAATATTAAAAAACATAAGAGAAAATGACAAATATGCAAATAATTTTTTTCTTATTTTTATTCTCTTTAAAAAAGAACTGGCTAAAGTTAAAAAACTAATGTGCTGTATATTTATAACATGGAAATGTAACAATATTAAAATGGAACATGGAGCAATAGAAATATCATTTTAAAGTTCTTAAATTATAAGTGAAATAACATTTTTTGAAGATGGTGATACATATGCATAGTTTACAAAATCCACTGTCACATATACATAAACACAGCTAATAAGCCAAAAACAGATACATGAGTTATAAAATAATTTGATTATGCTCCCTTGTTTAAATGCAAGAAGCTAGCAGAGTAATAAGATCACGATAATTAAGCAATAAATTATAAATACACTTACACATAATAGAATTCACTAAACAAATGTTCACATACCTAGTTTATCAAAATACAGTCAGTTACTTAGAACTTAATAAAGTAACCTGAAAGACTCTTCGTTCAATACTCAACAAAGCAAAGCAACAACAAAAAATCCCTGCCAGGATGGGAAAGGGAAACAAAGGAGGAGGCTACAATGCTTGATAAGAAATGTACTCATTATCTTGCCCATGTAATTGTAACCCCTCTGTACAGTATTTTCACAAAAAAAAAAAATCCCTGCCAAACAAAAACTCACTAAAAAAAGATGAAAGAAAAATCTATAATCTAAAATCAAGTCTCTGCTAGTGTCAAAATTATTATACTCTCAGCGCTTACAATACTAAATATTTGCTGACTGAATAAACATAGGACGAGGCCTACATAATTAAGAAATGAAAGTACTGTTACATATAAATTCAGTGCTTTCTGAAATTTTTAATTAATGCCAACAAATACAAGCCTGGTTTCTTTATTTAGCCATATCTTCACTACAAATGCATTTACTTTCAATCTATTTTATCATTTATTAAGGAAAAATATTCTTCATCTTTACAATTCAAGATGGCAATAATATATGCTAATATCATGTTCAGTAAGTCATTTTTATATATCTACTATAATTTTTTAGAAAATGAACACATAACTGACATTCTAGTATATTGTATTTGCTCAGGTTCACAACATGATCTTCCAAGTCATGAACATGGAAACATTTTCAGCCTCATATGTGAATGGGCACTATGTGCAATAATATTATCAAAAAGAAGACATGTTATGTATGATGTACATGTAAATCTTTGATATTCTAAAGTCACCTAGAAAATTTCAATGATGAGAGTATTAACATATAAGGCAAAATTATAATTTTTTCTGTCACTACTGGCTTCTTGTTTCTTCTAAAGGAGAATATATGTAAAGAGATGCATAAATACATGCATACAATATGCCCAGACATACGTGTGCATTCACACAGTACAAGAAATATTAGAACTCTACACCATTTTATAATATTAATCACATCAATAGTAACTCATCTCTTTTATATTAGGAAAGGCAAAATCATGTTGGAAACATGGCACAATTCTCTTAAATACTTTTGAATTATTGGAAAGTCACACTACTATTGCTATTTACCAGTTCCTCAGAAGTCAAATGCATCAAACGCTCAGCAATTACAGCACATTGGGCTGCGTCTCTTAAAAGTTCCCCCTGTTTATCACCAACCACTAGCTCTGGCCATGTGAGTCCTTCATTCTTCTTAATCAAGGAAATCTCCAAGCTAAAAGTTTAAATGAAAAAAGTGATGTTACTTTCACCAACTACATAAATTATACAATCAATAAATAGGACTTCCTACAGACATTAAGTAGCTGGAATCTCAAATATGTTCATTTTAGCTTTGTGATAGTAAATCTCTAATTCAAGGCAAATAGCATATATCAAAGTTCCACTAGAAATGGTACACCAAATATGGCATGAAGAAGTTAGTGACTAGAAAGGCCAAGAGGAAGACCACTAGAAAGAATTGTTGTAGTCCAGTGATGGAATTACAAGCAGCATAGGTACAGTGGTGTAAAGCAAGGGAAGGTCCACAAATACAGGAGATCTCTTTGGGTATGAACCCAACAATTAACTTTATTTTTACAAATAGTCATAATATACAATTATTATTGAAAATATCCATCAGGTTCAATCAACTTGTTAATTTCCAAAATGTAGATTTTTAAAGAACTGAAAAAAAAAAGATTAGGAATTAGGGGGAAATTAGTTTTGGAACAAACACAAAATGATAGTAACGTCTCTATTACTTTATTTGAAAATTCTATACATTTAGGTCATTAAGATGATATTTTGAATATGTTCTGAAGGGCCTGAAAATAAACTGAGATCAAAAATTGATGAGGCGGGAAAGAGTGACAAAAAAGTCAGAGCAGATCATATTAGATACAGGAAGAAGGAAGTAGCTCATGTTCCTTTGGAAGAGGGGAAAATCAAGTATAATGCCTTATGAATAGCATCTGCTCTAACAGAGAAAGTGGGGTAGTGGTTCTTCTATAGCCACATAACCTTTTCCATATGCCATCTTATGTTACAGGTGAACCATGCTAACCATTACCTTAAACACAACTGCAAGCAAACAACTGCCAGAGTATAATAATAGCTATTATCATCATTATCAAATAGAATATGTTAACCGTTCTTTTTCAAGGTGGTTATTGTCACCACCTCATGAATTAATTGCATCATTTTTAACATTTTTCTGACTACTTATTTTAGAAAACCATACAAAATGGTATTGCTTATGTAATGTAAGTTCCTATCACATAAGTAATGAAAATTATCATCACTATTATGAAATACCCTATTTCACTATTTTCCAAGGAACAGGCTAATCTTGACGATGAAGATAATGAAAAGAAAAATAAAGACTGCAGCTCATACTTACTTATTGCTTTACCCCATGACAGGTACTGTTTTAAATGCTTTATATATTTTAACTCATGTATTGCTTACCATAACCAAATAAATAAGTACTACTGACATATTCAATTTATAAGCAAGGGGAAAAAAGCACAAAGAGATTAAGTAACTTGACAAGTTTAGAAGCTATGTAAAGCAGTCTGATTCCAATCCATGTTTTTCACTACTGCACTATTCTGTGTCTCTAAAAAAAAAAAAAATGTAAATAACCATTAAAGAATTTCTACTCAGAGACTTGAATGTATATACACATTCCCAGTTGCTACCTTAAGAAATCTGATGCAGAATGATTTATAAGGATCTAACTTTAGTTTTCTACAGGTGTTTAACTAATTATGCCAGCAGCATTTGTTAAAGAGGCTGTCTTTCTTCCATTCTAGTTTTTTGGTCCTTTATCAAAGATTAGGTCTGCGGGTTCATTTCTAGGTCTTGAGTTCTATTTCTTTGGTCCTTGGGCCTGTTCTTGTTCTAGTACCAAATTGTTTTTATTACTATAGCTTTGTAATAGTTTGAAGTTTTGTACTGATATTCTTCCAGCACTATTCTTCTTGCTAAAGATTGTTTATGTTATTCAAGGTGTTTTATTATTCCATATACATTTTTTGATTGCTTTCTCTATTTGAGTAAAGAACGAAGTTGAGATATTGATGAGTGTCGCACTGAATTTGTAGAGAGCCTTTGGCAGTATTTGGTGGGGGAGGTAGGGGAGGAGGGAAGATAGGAGAAAAATGAGGGAGGGGTTAACAAGTTTGACAAAAAATGTACTCCCTATCTTACGTATGTAACTGTAGCCCATCTGTACATCATCTTGACAATAAAATTAAGTTAAAAAAATTAAAAGTATATACAATTTTAGTTTTGATGAATTTCTGAACCATCATTATTTTGCCAACCTAGGCACTGTAGCTTTTTTGACATGCATATCTCTATTTTAAAACTAGACCACTAGTGTCCAAGAAAGATCGAACAATAATATATATTATAAACTACATACTACTAAACAAAATCCTTCTAAAGAATATTAAATATTTGAAATCAAAAGTAATCATATTTTCAAGTACAAAAAAACAATTTTAAGCCACTTACCACTTACATATCACTGTAATTATTTTTATAACACAGAACAGTAATCAAATACCTTGAAATTACTAAAAGAATATTGGGCTGAAATTACTATATGATGTCTAGTTATTCCCATAGACCTCTGGCTGGTCTACAAGAGATCGTTAGCTGCTTGGTAACTTACATTTAAACATGTTCTACTTGTTTTCATAAATATGATTAAACAGAGTATGTGATGATAATGTATAGGGGTTCTGAACTTAGGACCTTGAAATGATAATAAAGGAGATGCTCGTCACACTTCCAACTCTAAAATATTTTTTCAGGAAACTTTCAGAAAATTATTTTTCATATCAGAAAATGTAACCACATCATCAAATGCTCTAACACCTTTTAAAACTTTAAATTTTCTTTGAACAGGGTATTTGTTTTTTAGAATTCCATGAGTTAAGACTTAGACTCACATTAGTTTTATACTATAAATCCAGAACTATTTTATATAAAAGTAGCTAATAACCTTATGCAACATTAACATAAATCAACCAAATAAAACTGAAAAAATTAAGTGCCTAATACTGTTTTAACCACCTATAGTTTAATAATAATAATGAAAGTCAACATTGAGGAGTAAAGTGTTTTGAACAACAGTCTTGCAAAGAAACATGGCAGTAAACTCAGATTATTAAAGTTTCACAAGTGCTTAAAACTTTAAAGTTTCATAGACATTTGACCTTTATTTATAAACAAACTTCTATTTCTTTTACTGGACAACTTTAAACAGAATTCATAAATTAGCTAATAAACACATATGCTCAAATAATTCCGAGGAAGTAGTTACGTTCCTTTTTATTCTCTTCTAAACAATCCCCCTACTCCTTACACAGTAAACTGTTGTATTTTGTATCACCACTGACTACTTTTGCCAGTCTATAATTCTGTATATGTGAAATTACAAAATATGTAATTTGGGGCTCTGATTTCTATGTATGCCACATGCTTTTGATTAATTTATATGGCTGTTTAGCTGTAGTTAGTTCTTTCTTTACAGAGTAGCATTTCATCACATAAACATACCACTTTATCTATTCACATTTTCCATGATCATTAGAATTGTGTGTAGTTAGTGGTTTTTCAAGTAAAGCCACTATGAATATAGTTTTATCTGTAAATTTTTATTGTGAAAAATACTGTACAATGAATAGTTTTTATAAAATTTTTGGCCTTATTTAGTTTTTCAATGTATATCTTCATTTTGTCATTGGGAAATAGTGAGAAGAATAGACAGAATTGATAGGCTACCAAGTATGTATATGTTTAATTTGGCAAAAAAACTGTCAAACAATTTGCCAAAGTAACTATATTATTTTATTTCACAGTAGCTATGCTTATGTTGTTTGTGGTTCCAGATTCCCCAAGATTCAATACTGCCTCCCTTGTTAATTTTAGATACCTCATCCTGGCTTTAATTTTCCTAAAGATTAATGATTACTTTTCATATGCTTACTAGATATTCATTTGGTTTCTATTGTCATTTGTCTATTCAAATCATTTGATCAGTTCTAAAGCTGAGTTATCTTTTATTATGAATTTGTAGAAATCTTTACACACTGAGAATGAAAATACTGTCAGAGTACTGAGAATATTTTCTTCAGTCTATGTTTATTTTTATGGTTTTTCTTAAGGTATCTAATTTAAGAGAGCAGACATTTTCAGTCATGAGGTGCAGAAAACTTTTAGATGAAGTCCAATTTATCATATATTTCTTGTTGTTTTTTTTTGGCCTATTGTACCCTAAACATGCCAACAATAAAATAAATATAAATGACCAATTTACATTGAAACAAAATTATTTGCCAAAATTATGAAATAAATATTATTCCACAAGTAGAAATGTATCATTCCTATTTATTTCTGCATATGAAAAATGATATGTAGTTATTTACTGTGGCAAAAGATTTGAAATAATTAACTTATTGGTTCGATTAGAGGGACAATATTTTTAAATGATGCTTCAATCAACAGACTAAAACTATTAACAATATTAAAAAAATCTATTGTTAATTCAAAGATTTACTCTTGAAAATGAATAAAAACAAGATATAGGGCTGGGATGTAGCTTAGTGGCAAAGTGCTTGCATAGTAAGTGCATCATCCTGGGTTTGATCCCCAGTACCAAAAAAGAAAAGAAAAAAAAAAGAGAAGAAAGATGTAATGATGGGTACAGTATTTTTCAAAATCTTTTCTCTTAAAAAGGAAGAAAAAAGCATGGTGCTAGAATATACATGAAATACTCTGAAATGAAACAAAACAGCTGTGGATGAATGTTGAGGTTGACTTGGAGGGAGGTTTCTAGCTCTATTCTTCTATATGCTTTATGTTTATAAAAATGAGAATCTATTATTTAGTAAATAATTTATACTTGGTAGAAAAAGTTAAGAATTCAAATTAAAATAGCCATTTTCATACTCTGTTATTCCTATATCACTTATCTTTAGAGAGAGTAATGAAAAGTAATACTGTGTCCTACAAGTGATAACTACGCTAGTATCATTAATCTTAACTACAGTTAAGTTGTTCCATGTAGTTATTACATTTTTAATCAATCTTAAGAAAATTAATGAGCTAGGCACTGGTGGCTCAAGCCTATAATCCTAGCTACTCAGGAGGCTGAAATATGAGGATCGCAGGTCAAAACCAGCCTAGGCAGAAAAGTCTATAAGACTCTTATCCACCAGAAAAAATTAACTACCAGCAAACCAGAAGTGGTGCTGAGCTCAGAGATAGTGCCCAGGCACAGAGTTCAAGCCCATGACCAACCAAAAAGATAAAAGAAAAAACTAAAATTAATGAGGAAGAGACAAAAGTACTGTATTCATCTTTGATGCCCAACTGGTACGGAAAAAATAACAAGACAAAAAGATTAACTAAAATTTCAAATATAAAACTATTAAAATACCTATTATTCTCTTTAATTATCCATGTACTGCTTTCATGATCAACAGATGAAAATAGTTTTCCTTCTAAAATTTGGAGACCCTTCAGCATGATGCTGATGTTATCAGGTAAAAATTGTACTTGAACGTCTTCCTTAGTACTGTCTTCGGGAAGCCGCACTGTTACTGTCACATCGTCTTCACTCTGTTGCCAGTAATACAGAGGTTCTAGAGGTGAGGAGGGAGATGAATTATATAATCAAAATGAAACAACAATATATAAAATTAGAGCCCAGAAGATATGAAAGAACATCTATCTAAAATAATCTCAGCATGCTTTGTAGAGATAATCTCACAGAAAAAAATAAGCATAAGCAAATATATAGATTTCCTTGGGGAATTTTCACTGGAAAAGTTGAAGCAATTAAATTTAACATTTTCAGCTTCCAAGCTTACCTATTCCTCTAGGAAATGACCAGTCAGAAAATACTATTGACAGCAATCTTTTCTTTGGTCCTTATATTCTCTCTTTCCCAACACATACACACATACACATGTGCATGCGTACACACACACACACACACACACACACACACACACACTAATTCTTTGCTGAACAAGAATATGATGTATTTCCCTGAAAAGAAAGCAAAGTGATTTATACATAGTAATAACCCAGTGGATAACTTCTGCCAGAAAACGCATCAAGGACTGGAAAGTCACACAAGCTTTCAGTATAAAGAGTCATGGAAGCTAGGTGCCAATGGCTTACAACTGTAATTCCAACTATTCAGGAGACTGAGATCTGAGGGTCACAGTTCAAAGCCAGTCCAGGCAGGAAAGTCTGTGAGACACTTACTTCCGATTAACTATCCTTTCTCTCAAAAAATAAAAACTGGAAATGGAGCTGATGCTCAACTAGTGGAGTGTTACTATTGAGCTAAAAAGCTCAGGGACAGTGTCCAGGTACTGAGTTCAAGCCCCAGGACAGGAACCAAAAACAAAAAGTACAAAACAGTGAAGCAAATTTGTTTCAATATCAATATTAATAAAAAGGTTAGTTTACAGAGTATGTATAATTATAAATACTAAAAATCTTATAAAATATATCAGTTTGGCTATAAACATCAGTGATTTTTGAGACAAGATTCTTTTGAAGAACTTTAATAGAATTCATACTCTTCATATACAAATACAATTTTTTTTTCTGAAAGACTTTGTTAAGCCTTTCATTCTAAAACATGATCTTTACTCATTCATTTAACATTAAAAAACTGAGTGGTTCTGTCTGAAGAAACTTATTTTCAGCTTAACATGAAGGTTAAGAACATATGCATCAGTCTACCTTATTGTCTACAAGTATTCAGTATGATATACTGGCTTCAAAGTGCCAATATAACTGGTATTATTCAGTTACATGCTAAGTGTAGAATAAAGAATCAAGTTAGCTAATACACAGATCATTTTTTAAAAGCAATCTTTGGAGCAGGGTGCCAGTGGCTCATGCCTGTAATCCTAGCTACTCAGGAGGCTGAGATCTGAGGATCACAGTTCAAAGCCCAGCCCAGACAGGAATGTCCATGAGACTCTTATCTCCAATAAACCACTCAGAAAAATGGAAGTAGTGCTGTGGCTCAAGTGGTAAAGCGCTAGCCTTGAACTGAAGAACTGAGGGACAGCATCCCAGCCGAGTTCAAGCCCCATGACCAACAAACAAACAAACTATAAAATTATTAAATTTTCACAATATTTTGGTGAACTATTTTTTTACAAAAAAAAAAAAGGAAGAAGGGAATACAAAAAAAATATTAGTCATCTGTCCTGACCTGGTAAAACCCCACCCCTAATTAGGAAGAAAAAACTAAAATGAATATCACTTTAATCTATGAAGAATAAAGTAAAACCACCTTTGATTTTCTCTGGCATGTCTTCTTCCATAGTTTCTTCAAGATCATGACCAGCCTGAACAAATTTGAAAGACTTGTAGGAGACAATCATCAGACCATTTCCATTGGGCTCAATAGCAGCATAATGTGGCACTGACTTCCCGCGGAGAATGTCACGCTTAGTAATTTCATATTTTTCATTATCTGTAAGAAAATATTTTACATTAAATGAAAAGTCTAAAAAGATTTGAATATTAGTTGTAATCATACCTAAGTATTCTAAGTATATTACTAAAAGACACATTTATACTCTTTTCCTAAGAATAAAAACATTACAACCTAATTTTCTACAAATAAGTCTGTAATTTTTTTTTTAATATTTTACTTTTTGTGCCAGTTGAACTCAGGGCCTTATGCTCTTACTCAACTTATTTACTCACAGATTACACTGTACCATTTGAGTCATACCTCCAGTATGCTATTTTTGCTGGTTAAATGGAGATGAGTATCTCAGAACACTTAGGCTTAATTCAAATTTCCAAAACCTACTAATGATGACATACATTAGAGAGAGAGAGAAGTGAGAGAGAGAAAGAGACAGAGAGAGAGATTCAGAATTTTATTTTACCTTTATTTTTCTTACTGATAGTGACCCACTCCAAAGAAACATAGAAACCACTTCCTTTGAAATCCGATTCCTCTTTCTCTATTCGAAGAAGTAGGGTAGCTATTGAATGTTCTTCAGGTTTCAGCAATGAGATGCTGTGAACTATAATAAAGGGATCCCCCAGCTCTTCATTAAACATAATCTATAATAAAATCACACACACACACACCAAAATGGCCATATATGAACAGCGATAACAGAGGAAATATATAAAAGACATAAATATTATTTATTAGAAGGAATTCAGTCTTTTTTAAGCCTGTAAAAGCAGACTACAAGTTCAAATAATGCTCTCTACAGAAAGAACTTAAAAGACAACTGTACAACCAAGCAAACTAGTTCATTCTCTTGGCTTAAAAACAAAACAGGGATTCTAAAAGAGAAAAAACAAGCTAAAAGCAATCTTGATAAAAGAAATATCAAGAGGAAAAACTATACGTAAAAGGAGAGGGCATGGGCAGGGCAATGCTCACTGTCTCTTCACCATCTCATACAGGATTTATTACTGTGTGCAGCTGGCATTCCTATGCATGTATGCCTTCTTCTTATGCTTTTTATTTGTTTTCCTTTATATTTTCCAGAACTTTATAAAAGTAACATGTAAGGTATCGGGGGAAAAAAAATCACTAAAATTTCTTAATTTCAAAAGCCAAGGAGCTCACACCTTTAAAGGTAACTAAAATACAAACTCTGTGTGTGTGTTTGTGTGTGTGTGTGTGTGTGTGTGTTACTGGTAGTGGCTAAAATATGATGGTGAAGTTGCCCACCAAAAGCCAAGTTAAAGACACACAGAATCCTATGGAATTTTCCTTATAATACAATCATGATTCTTTAATAAGATTTTCAAAGAAGTAAAAAACAATTTTTTTTGTTTTTACTGAGTTGATCTCATGATGTGTCTTCTATTTGATAAGCAGGCTCTCTACTACATGTGATAGGCCCTAAGTTTTTTTCTCTTTAGTTATTTTTTCGATAGGTTCTATTTATGCCTTGGGGACCAAAATTACTGGTTAATTGGGTATAAAATAGTGATCTAATCCAAAGAAACTTAGAAATTACTTCCTTTTAATGATTCCCATGTAGCTAAAATGATAGGCACATACCTCCAAACTACTGGAGGAGATGGGGGAGCAGGGTCTCTAGATTTTGCATGAGCTAGCCTCAAAGTACAATTTGAAGTCAATTTCAGACTTCCAAACAGCTAGTCTGTTTTTAAAATCTGTATCTTAAATCTCCTATTATCGGTTCCTAATTGAAAGACTTATAAAGAAAAGTAAGCTACAATGTCATCAAAAACACTTCTAGCCAGGCACCGGTGGCTCACGCCTATAATCTCTTAGCTACTCAGGAGGCTGAGATCTGAGGATCCCGGTTCAAAGCCAGCCTAGGCAGGAAAGTCCGTGAGACTCTTATCTCCAATAAACCACTAGAAAACCGGAAGTGGTGCTGTGGTTCAAGAGGTGCTCACCTTGAGCTGAAGAGCTGAGGAATAGCCTCCAAGCCCAGAGTTTAAGCTCCACGACAAAAACAAACAAACAAAAAAAAAAGTTCTACCAAAATTATTCAAATAGTAGGCTCACTTGAAAGATTTTCATAAGTAAAACAAACAAAACAAAAAACCCAGGAAAACTCTTAAATACTGAAAACTGAAATGACAGATGAAGACAAGTTTTGAATTGGTTGACTGAGTTTTCCTTTTGTTTGGGGAACAGTAGAAAATAAAAGCAAGAAGAGAAAATGATAAGTTCTGTCATGTACAAGTAGCTAGCTTATTGTTTCCTTTTTCTTTCCCCAATGAAATCTATCCTATCTCCTTAATTTCTCTTCCTGGGCTTTACATACTAACACCATCCTAGAACCTCTTTTCTCCATATTATGCCCTTTAACCAATTCCACCTTTAGATTTTCTTTTGTTTCATCAATTCTCTCAGTTTCTTTTCCTTCCTTTTTTAAATTTATTACTTAATATTTATTTCTTTTATTAAGTAGCTATAAAAAAGGGAGTTTCAATTAAAGAAGCCAGGTTATGACCAGGTATAGTTTTCCTCAAAGAATTAAAGGCTGGTAGTTTACAGACATTGGTCAATCTGATTTTAAAAAAATCTTCTTACATGTAAATATATTAAGTATGTCTACCTTTATTCAACACTTCAGGTTAAATGCTGGGATTTCTATAGTGCTATTACAATATACTTAGTATAATTCAAGTGAGTTGAAATAAAACATTTAATTCTACTGAATATCATTTAAAAACCATGACTCTCGAGACATTGACTCTATACAGAAATTAATTCTTTATTTATAACTACTGACATTCTAACCGCTTAGATTTAAATCTGCTTCAATTTTTTAATGAAGTAAAAATGGCAATTTAAGAGATTAAAAAAGACATATTTATCTTATAATGTATTTTTCGGTATGAAATAGCCCAATAAACTTGCTAAGTAACTCATGTAAATACATGAGTACCCTAACATGCAGGCAGAGGAGAAAATACCCCGATGTAAGTTTAAGTCAGCCGTCCTTCAAGGGCACAAAGGTGGCAATGCTTATTATACCGTTTTACACATAAACACAACCCCAAAACCTTTGCTAAAATGGAACACAATTCTCAATGATTGCTGTGACCTCAGAACTGGCTAATGTATCAATTTACAAAAGGTATAGGTTTTATGATTTAAAGAGATACAAATTTATAATAGATAAGCCAAGAAGTCATTTGCAAATTATCCTTAAAACATGTGATTTTAAAATAAATAACCTTACTGTGCACATATCTTCTGGACTTTACATAAATCTTTAAAAGAATAAATCCTTACCTCCCATTTCTCAGAAGCACTATTTCCACGTTCACCTGTTGCAATGACATACAGTCTTCCAGTACCATCTGACAACGTAACCCACGAGGAAGATGAGAAGTGGATAGATGAACAAAGGCGATTGTCATATGCTGTCAAATCTGTAGGAAGTCGAAACACCTCCCGTGGTTTTCCTAAAGCAGTGTCCTAAAAAGAAGTCTAACATTATATATTTATTTCCTTTCACTGATCCATACTCAGAAAATAAATATTTGCAGTTTAGTAGTTTCTCTCTTCCTCAAGAACTGAACCTAATTCCACTCCCTTTACCGTATTTGTCAGAAATGACAAATACAGTAAGCTGAGAGGGATAGTATTCAGACTCAAGGACTAGATCACCAAATACTTTACATACTCTGATTTGTTATCTTTTGTTAGCTAGCACTAAGGAAGGTAAGCTGCCAAGCTGTGAAGTTAATTAAGTACTGAGTTACTTGCAAATGCCTATGTGAGGAGAAAATGAGGCCTCCTATCATGAACCAACCTCTGAGTATGGATCATTTCTGAAACATGTTCTTCTGCCCTAACCAAACCTTCAAATGACTGCAGTCCTGACATCACAACATCATGAGAAACCTTGAGCCAAAACTCCTACAGAAACTGAGATGACTCTAAATCCTGAATGCATCATCCAGTAAAAGGTAATTAATACAGTACAATAATCTAGTTTTTGTTTAATTTTAGAGTTAATGATCACTATTTTAAAATCACTAAGTTAGAAATATCACATCATGCTCTAAATGCAGACAAACATTCATTGCTGAATGAAAGTACTACAAACAATCTATTAACAATTTAGGCTTGGTGAACAAATGTTTAATTGTGTCTGTGACCTCATAATTTCAAGTTTTAAGATAGGTTGCATCATTAAAATACAAGACATAAAACAGGCTTACTATAGAGGTAATAAACTTCCTCAAAAACACCAAACTGTATCCAATTCAACACAACTTTTTCCTTAAAAGTTTTGTTTTTGCTTTTAGCTTTTGTTTTTCATTGAAAATGAGATGCAGGTCATCTTTAAGGTGAGAATGACCAGAAGGAATTTTTGATTTGTGCGTTTTACTCCTTGCTCCTAGCACCCATCAGATCTATGTGCTTATTAATAAATTCATGGAAACCATACACACTGTCTTTAGTCATTTTTTTTTGGTAACTACTTTTTATTTAAGTAGTGGAGGTTTGAACTCAGAGTCTCACACTAGGCAGGTGTTCTACTACTTGAGCCACCCCACCCCCACCCCACCCCTCTGGATTTCATTGGTTATTTTTAGGATAAGGTCTTACTGTTGTCTCCCCTCACCCTCCATGAGCCTCCATTCACCTACTTAAGGCTTCTGATACTTGCTGGGCCCATGGGCATATGCTACTGAGTTCAGCTTCCCTCTAAGGAGAAGGGATAGTTAAGACTTTCCTGTCCACACTGTCTCAGAAATACGATCTTCCCATCTTCAGCATTCCAAGAAGTTTGGATGATAAGTGTGAGCCACAAGTACTCTGATTTTTTTATTTTGGTTATTAGTATGTACTGTATTCCATTTTTTGCAATATTGGGGTTTGAATTCAGGGCCTTGTGCTTGTTGGCACTCTTAACATTTAAGCTGCATCCTTGGCTTTTTTTGGGCTCTGGTTATTTTTTGTTGGTGGTGGTGGTCGTGAGGCTTGAACTCAGTCTGGGAGCTGTCCTGGGGCGCTCTTTAGTTCAAGGTGAGCGCTCTACTGCTTAAGCCACAGTGCCACTTCTAGTTTCTTGGTAGTTTATTGGATAAGAATCTCATGGACTTTCCTACCCAGACTGGCTTTGAACTCAGCCTCCTGAGTAGCTAGGATTACAGGTATGAGCCACCAGTGCCCGGCTGGCTCTGGTTATTTTTGAGATAGGGTCTCATTTTTTTTGCTCAGGTTGGTCTGGACTGTGATCCTCCTACTTAGGTTTCCCAAAGCAAGGATCTTTGGTGAGTCTCATCTTACCAGCTTTTGCCACTGAGATGAGGTCTCAAAAAGTCAACATCCTGAGTAGTTAAGATTACATCATTAGTCTGTACCTGTACCTGGCTGACCACTGCTTTTCCAAAGTACTCAATTTAGTTTTTCATTGAAAGAGACTTTTCTTAAAATTTTTTTTCCTTTTCTTTTTTTACTGATTTGCATAATAACATATAAAATAAGTTTAAAACACAGAGTTGGCATAGGTTTTAAATCTAAGTATTTGCAATTTAAACATTAAAAGTAAAATTATATTAGCATAGATCTAAGTAGCTGATTAGTAGTGAACTCACAGGAGTCTCCAGGATTATGTTTATAGAGGAAATAGAGACTCTGAGTTAATTCAGTCAGTTAAGTGCAGGTCAACTAAGACCAATTCTGCTGTCAGGTAATTTCTATGTAAGCATTCACAACATAATACGGTATTCCCACTAAAAAAAATGTAATAAGTAAATGGTACTGGAACTCTAAAAATCTTTTTGAAAAAAATTTAACTTTCCTCTCCCCATCATATATAAACATATTGCATGTTCCAAAGACAATCCAAATGTGTTAAAGAAAAACTGAAATAACTATAATAATTTAGTATAATAAACATATGCTTTCCTATGCATAAGTAAAAGATATGTAGGGAGAAAATGTCACAAACACAAGACCAACACCTCTAACATATAAACTCCTTAAAAATCCAACAAAAAATGATTATTTAAAAATTTTAATAAACATGGAATTATGGATATCTAACAAAGAAAAATAGAATAAACTCATTATATTAAATGTACATGTATATATTTAATATATATGTAAATGTATATTTAACATAGTAATATATACATATATATGAATTAAAGTAAGATTTCCCCATTAGCAGGGGTGGAGGTATAGGGGTATATCTTAGACTAGTAATATCTGTTCTTGACTGAAGTGCCCTGCTGGTAGAAATAAGTATAGGTTTTCTGGAGATGATAAATCATTTTTACTTTATGTACTCTGATATTAATTCCATTTATAGAAAGTTATCTTGTAAGAATACTTGCACATATATAATTTTAAATGTAATAATATTGATTATTTAACAACCCATCCCTGATTATTAATGGAGAAATAAAAAAAGGACCCCCAAGCACTAGACCAAGCACTGGACCTATCTTGGGAACATCAGCAAGGTCTTTGTTTTTGCTAGCCCAACACATATAAATAACACTGTTCTATTAGACATAAACAGTTTTACAAAAATATAAGCAGATAAGGCAATTATGTGATTATGATGCACCAAAATAAAACAGCATCACTTCATAATGATATCTGAACACAAATAAAACAAACACTATAAATAAGGCCCCAAATCAGACCAACATGACCAACTACAGCTTTTTTAATTACAGCCTGAGCTTTACACTAGTCCCACTTAGATAAATCTTAAGATACTAATCAGAGAATTTTCTATTCTTATAAAAGTGTTCAATCCAGAGGAAAGGTCAAATTCCTGCCACAAATCACTCAACAAAACCCAATCCTTTACTATCAAGTTTTTAAATCTTATTGAGAGACTCTATCTCCCCATGGTGTATGTTCTCCCTTGCTGAAAAAAGTAATAAAAATCTAACTTGTTCAAACACAAATCTACGCCTGGCATCTTTTTCAGAAGAGCACTAGAAGGAAATTGTAAAATACAATTCTGTGGAATACCAATTATAAAATAAATGGTGAAAGGTTAGTATTACATGCAAAGAATGAATAATGCATGCAAAGAATAATAATATGAATCCATAAGTGCGGAAATAAAGGTAATGATGTTAGCACACATTAAGGAATAGATACATGCTGTGTCTATAGTGTGTGCTATTAGGAATGAAAATCATTAGGAGAAAATAAGACTGGAGTATGCCTGGTGACTGGGGAGATCAAGCACATTCCCCCTCTTTTGTACTGAGCAATTTCCGTGATATGGATACATTTATACATAGCTATATTTACATATATATTTACTTATACATACATATAGTTATATATACATATATAGATAGATAGATGTTTTCTTACTAAGGTAAAACAAAATGGTATTCTTTTTTCATAAAAGTTGGTTAAAAGTAAAGATTTCTATGATTCACTACATGCTTCTAACTGTATCTAATCTAATAAGCCATTGTTGGCAAAAACTCAGGGCTGAACTTGTTAAATCACTATTCTCTACTTCACATAAAACTATGTTTTTAATAATCTCTTAAACACATGGTTAATATGACTAAAGTAGGTAGAAGTGTAATTATCAGAAAAGGTGCTATAATATCTAATAGAATTGATTCTCAAGTATGTGCATGTGAAATCAAAATTAACAAAACATAAAGGAAAATATGTAGTTCTCTTACTAGAGATAAATGATAAAGTGAGAGCAACCTAAATATTCTTGATGTTTGGAATTCTCAGGGTATACTTGAATTTTGACTAGACTATATGCAGTAAAAAGTTTCTGAAAATTTTACTTAAGAACATTCCATTATTTCCAGTAACCGTAATGACAGTTCTACTTTGTATCCTCATCATAGGATCTCATCAAATTGGCATCTATATGTCCAGTTTTTACCCTACTTCCCTTTTCATCACAAAATGTAACCAAGTTCAAGGACATTGAAAATATTTCACAAGTAATTTACAGAAGGACTCCATGACTTTAATGTATAAAAACATTAAGTAAGTGCTTTGCCACATTGCCATCTCATTTAACCATCATTGAGTACTATGAAGCTGAAATTATCCCAACCTCAAGATAGATTCAAAAAATAAAATAAAATAATCCTTCTTAAACTCCATTGCTGAAGATGCCAGGGCCAAATTTCAAAGCTTTGTCAATCCTACTTCAATATTTGACATTCTTTCTCTACTTGCCATTTTCTAGAGAAGAAACTATTTGCTTCATTTTTCTAAACAAATAGTACTTCAGACTCAGTGCACCTGAATACCACCGTGACAAAACAAAATAATAAAAATAAAATAAAAACCCACTCTGAGTGCAATGAACATATTCAGGTTTTCTTCATGTCATTACACAGAATGCTTAAATTAATAATCCTAAGTTATTAAGATATAATGCAACAAGTATAATTTCCATATAGTACATATAAGTGACAATAGTTAAGCATTGATAACTAAACCGTATATGT